AATTGTAAAAGTCAGTCGTCGATTGTAAAAGTAAGTCTCTTCATAAAACTCCTAAAATGGGATACCAATGCATACAAGGAGGTCAAAAAGTTTACGAAACAAGATTTTATTGTGTTACACACATTGAACGCTGTACAAATTCACCCTGACATTGAACAACAATGGTTGCTACCTCGATTTAACTACAAAAGCACGAATTTAATATTTAAAAGAGCAAAATTGATTCACAGCAGAGATAATTTTATATATAATCCATGTAATTTCATCATTATAGCATATCGTTACATGCAATACTTTAAAAAAACTATGACCGATGAGCAGAAATACTTTTCCTTTACCATCGCAAACAGTTATTTAATTATTTTTGACAGTCAATTACCCGATCTAGACATACAGTAATTAAAAATCTTTCGCAAAGAGTACAGTGCATGAGTTTTGTTACAATATTTTAATTCATCCCAGACTAATTACCAAAAAAATAATCAGATTTAAAATGTCTAAAAGTTAATGTGAGTAATGTCTTTGATGAAAAAACCCACGGAGAATATGAATCTCTGAAAAAGGCATACACATAAAAAGTGTTTAACCATGAACTACAGATCAATATTGCATATCGCACCACTTTCTGAATGTTATGTGGGTAAGAAGCCATAACATTTAAAAATCATCGGTTCCAACATCACTTAGAATTGAACTAATGACCTTCTGTTTATATGGGCCCATAGGAATATTATGAAATGTTGTCTTGTGATTAATCTCAGTACTTGCAAAACTATAATGAATTATCTTTATACCCGCACTTTCTAAAGAAAGTTCGGGTATATTGTTGTTACTCATGTCCGTCCGTCCGTCCGTCTGTCACACTTTTCTTCCCTAAACTCCTCTTACATTTTACACAGTAGGCTAATCATCTTTTGGGAGATGGTTGGTGGTGTCATGTAGATGTGCAGTAAGGTTTCGGAATTTTGATTTTGCCTTGGGGGGTCAAATGGGGGTCGAAAAATGACGTTTTTTATGCAAAAAGCCTCGTCTTCCCTGAACTCCTCTTACATTTTACACAGTAGGCTAATCATCTTTTGGGAGATGGTAGGTGGTGTCATGTAGATGTGCAGTAAGGTTTTGGAATTTTGATTTTGCCCCGGGGGGTCAAATGGGGGTCGAAAAATGACGTTTTTTATGCAAAAAGCCCCGTCTTCCCTGAACTCCTCTTACATTTTACACAGTAGGCTAATCATCTTTTGGGAGATGGTTGGTGGTGTCATGTAGATGTGCAGTAAGGTTTCGGAATTTTGATATTGCCCCGGGGGGTCAAATGGGGGTCGAAAAATGACGTTTTTTATGCAAAAAGCCCCGTCTTCCCTGAACTCCTCTTACATTTTACACAGTAGGCTAATCATCTTTTGGGAGATGGTTGGTGGTGTCATGTAGATGTGCAGTAAGGTTTTGGAATTTTGATTTTGCCCCGGGGGGTCAAATGGGGGTCGAAAAATTACGTTTTTTATGCAAAAAGCCCCGTCTTCCCTGAACTCCTCTTACATTTTACACAGTAGGCTAATCATCTTTTGGGAGATGGTTGGTGGTGTCATGTAGATGTGCAGTAAGGTTTTGGAATTTTGATATTGCCCCGGGGGGGTCAAATGGGGGTCGAAAAATGACGTTTTTTATGCAAAAAGCCCCGTCTTCCCTGAACTCCTCTTACATTTTACACAGTATGCTAATCATCTTTTGGGAGATGGTTGGTGGTTTCATGTAGATGTGCAGTAAGGTTTTAGAATTTTGATTTTGCCCCGGGGGGTCAAATAGGGGTAAAAAAATGACCTTTTTATGCAAAAAGCCCCGTCTTCCCTGAAATTCTCTTACATTTTACACAGTAGCCTAATCATCTTTAGGGAGATGGTTGGTAGTGTCATGTAGATGTGCAGCAAGGTTTTGGAATTTTGATATTGCCCTGGGAGGTCAAATGGGGGTGGAAAATTACATTTTTTGTGCAAAAAGTCCTGTCTTTCCTGAAGTCCTCCTTAATGTTACTCAGAAGCCTAATCATCTTTTAGGAGAGTTAAATATCTTGAAAATTATGTAAAACATTAACGTTAAAGAGTAAAAAAACATTGCAAGCTGGGAAACATCTTGAATTTTTATGAGTAATTAATGTACAAATGTCAAATGTGAGAGTCATATCTCATCTCAATCAAAAGTTATAAGCAAATGCAACATTTTTGAAAAGTAGGTTAGGCTTCAAGGTCAAGGTCACAGAGTAAAAGTCATGATTCATTTGGAAAGATCTTATCACAGGTAATAATATACATGCATTATAATATGAATGCCCTAACTTTTCTCTTTCAAAATGATAAATTTATAACAATTTAATTTTTTTGCAAGTAGGTCAAACTTCTAGGTCATATGTAAAAAAAAAAAAAAAACCATGCCATTCTCACAGGTAAATACTAGTACATAAGTTTAATATGAATGCCTTGTCTCTTCTCATTCAGTAGATATGACCGTGATAACCAAGGTTAATCTTATTCAGACAGAAGAACAGTCTGACATACAAATGTACATATTTCTATATGAATTGCATGGGTAAAATTGGACCAGTGGTTCTAGAAAAGTTAAAAATGTAAAAAGTTTTCAGACAAACAGATGGACAACATATCACAACAGACGTTATATGACAAGGAAACCAGAAAAGCTCAAATGAGTGTTTTGAAAGGGTTACAATATGGTTGCAGTACTTGAAAAGCTGGGGTTTTTTTCATGCAGAGATATGCATGACCAACATATTCATGTTTTATATTTTCTTTAGTAATTTGTTTGTTTGTTGTGAATACATATCTCATTGGAATTTTTCCGTCATATGGAGACACCATCAAATAATAATGAAGACAAGATGTGTTTGTGAAACACTGATGTCCCTGTCTGGTAGCCTATGGCGAAGGTTGAAGTTTCTCAAATATATGTCAAACTCAAAGGTCAAGGTCAAAAGGTTCAATTGTTGGTATCAGAAAAAAGACTTGTCACAAGGAATGCACATGTGAAATAAGTAATCCCTAGTACTTCCTCTTCAAAAGTTAATTGCCAAGGTTAATTTTTTAAGTGGTTCAAACTCTACGGTCAAGGTCAAACATATTTATACCTGTTGACAGTTCACAATGAATACACAATGACATGTTAAGCATGAAAGCCCTAGCACCTACTGATCAAAATTTAGGCCAAGTTTAAAGTTGGGTATTTTTCTTGTAAAAATGTGTATTCTAGGTCAAGTGATCAGAGGTAAAAATTAATGGTACCCAAATAAAAGGTCTTAATTGTCACAAGAAATAAACCTATAAAATGTGGAAGCCAATTGTATAGCCCATCCCACTTAAAACTTATGGGCAAGGTTATAATTTCTGCAGACAAATATACAGACATAATATAAACACAAGAAACAAAATATGTACATAATTAGTCAAATGGAAAAAAATATACTATTTAATTGGAATCACAAAATAGATTGTTATTTCAGGGATAGGGAGTGGGTAGGGAGATTGGACCCCCCCCTGGAATTTCCTTTGCTATTTAAACAAGACTATATACTGAAGCAAATAAAAAATGATTTTGGACATCCTCCCCCTAACTAAGAAAACATTGGGGTTTTTTTGTTTATTTGTTTTCAGTGTATGATTTTTTTCTCCTGCTTGTCAGGAAATTCTAGGCATGAATATTTTGACTGAGATGTGAACCCCCCTCCCTACTCCCGAAAAAAATTCTGGATCCGCACCAGTATTGGCAGTAACTGAATGTCACATCGACAAGGGGAGATAACTTCACAATATGAAATTCGTCTAGTGTGGCATGCGATGATCTTTGACCCTTTTTGAAGTTTAACCTAATCGTTTGGGTTTATTTTACCCCCACTATACTTAAACTTGTACTTACCGACCTCCATAGATCCTGTAAACTTCATGAAATATAAATCCAATTATAACACAAAATGAATTAATCCAAAGCACACCATTCTGCAGCATATTATAATGATATTCCATTCGGAAAACCTCCGTGCCGTCGATTCCGTCACCTTATCAGATGAAGTGGGAATCGGCCGAGGTGTACCGAATGGAGTTTAATCTAAAAATATGATAATGGGTGACGCAACGTGATGTGATGTAGAATTTACATGTCAAGAACAAATTTTAAATTAATTCATAACAAACACTGTTTTAACAAAACTGTTCCATCTAGCCTATTCCCAAAAGTATGTACTGTGTGATTGTGGTGTCGAGAGGGGGGGGGGATTAGTAAATTTAAAAAGGTCCTAATATGAGTAAAACATTTATCAAAATCTAATTTACATTATCAATAGAATTCAAACTGGTATATAATGAATTAAGCATGTAAAATAAATATAAGAGTTTCTGAGTTATAGGTCACAGGGATAATTTCATACCCAATTTTATGAATACATATGTAAATTACAGGCACATAGCAACCGGGGGGGGGGGGGGGGGGGGGGGGGGCTGCCCCCTTTTTTTCCCAACATTACCTGTACTATAAGAAAATGTCCATTAAAAAGATGGTTGCCCCCTCCCCCCACTTTTAACCACAGTATATACATTGCAAGGAAATATGGGAAAAATTGGAAGTAATTTTGCCTTGAAAAAAAAGTGGCCTCCACCCCCCCCCCCACCCCCACCCCCCCATTTCATTTTTTTTCCTTGTTATTTTTTTTAGGTTAGTAAAAAAAATTTTCTCAGGTTGCCCCCCCCCCCCACTTTCAAAAACGATGCTACGTGCCTGAATTATATAGAATTATTTTGACTTTTTCCTTGGTAAGCCGCCCGTAGGATTGTGTATTTAGAGGCAAACACCTTAGTGCGGGTATTACTGTCTCATGACAGCATCTAGTTTCAATTTATGATTATAATATTTTAATATTTGTAATTAGGTATTTATTACTTTGATCTAAATACCTCTTCAAAATGAACAAAGGAACATAATACTCATTGATGTTTTTTTACAGGATGACAGATTTACCGCTTACATCAGAGGCCCTATATTTTGGACTAAACATCGGACTTGGTAGTATTGAAATAGTAAAAATGAGAAGAGATTTGGTACAACTGAGAGACATAATTGAAAATCGGATAAGAAATGACGGTGATAGAGCTATGATCAGTGGTAGCACACGAGAGGGATACCGTTTAGCGTCATCAGACTTTGACTTAATGCAATGGCCGGTAAACCACAAGCTGATCTCAATTTTATCTCAAGCTGAACGTTACCAATCCACAAAAAATACTTTGATCTTGATGGAGAGTGAACGCTGTCCTCCTGGTTTTGTACTTCTTCGATTACTGAATGATACCGACCAGTATAGAGTTCATCGTGCATGCATTGAAGAAAACAATGCTTTATACATATCGAGCAGTAAATACCGGGAGGTAATGTTTCTTAAATATGGCAATCCAGAAGATGAATCTCATGGTCCGTGCACTAGTGGAACAGTTGAGGTGACTAATGAACAATATGATCACGCATGCTGTTTTATGTCAGACATATGGCCTGCACAAGCCTTGTCTTGGATTGAGAGATGCACAAGTAACCTATGGCCATCAATGGCTACACTAAGCAAAATCGTTAATAGTGGTTGTCATGCTGTAGCAATTGGTCATAAGTTGTCCTCGTATGAAGACGTCGAATGGAGGATTTCCTTTTCACTTGCAGAGCACATCCTGATGTTTTCATTGAATCACTGTCAATTTCTGTGCTACGGGCTTCTTAAGCTATTTCTAAATGAGGTCATTAATAAAAGCAATGCTCAGGAAAGGGTGCTATGTTCTTATCATTTGAAAACAACACTTCTCTGGGTAGTTCAAGAAAACATTGTTCAGAATTGGTGCCCAAAAAATCTCATCAAATGCTTCTGGATCTGTTTTCAAACTATCATAAATTACGTATATCATGGAGTGTGTCCCAATTTCTTCATTCCGGAAAACAACATGTTTCTAGGAAAGGTTGAAGGGGACGTATAGCGTAGTTTGCTTCAGCAGCTTTTGGATTTATACAGCTGTGGTCCTTCCTGTTTACTGGAATCCCAGTCCATAAATACATTATTCAGAAGCGCATTTTTACCCTCTATGAATAGAAATACTGTGAAATCACAAATTTTTCATGGGGGTTTAATTTTCGTTGTTTTCGTGGTATGACGAGACCCACGAATTCATGTCCACCACAAAATGTAAAATGTCACACATAAGTATTCATTGATTCTTGATCAAATCCCCACGAACCAAGAGATTTTCCTCAAACCACGGAAATTTGTCCCCACGAAAATATGTGATTTTACAGTAGTTTGGAACACATAGTATTATATGCATTTCAGATGGAACTTCATTACCGTCATTTGGGGATTCTACTATTAGAGCATTTAGCCCTAATTGCTCATTTTTACGCTCTTCTTTTTATGATAACGATGCCTCCTCAGTTTCAATTGATGTTGAATATTTCAAGGAATTAGAAAAGGAATTTTCTGCAGGTTGCTCAATACATTTGTTGCGGCGTCTTCAGGCATTGCAGGAACTTATCACTTGTAACAATTATTTTTCCATGTATCAAAAAATTAGCCTTCAAATTTTTGCATCTGAATACTTTCGAAGTATTGCATTTAAACTTGCTAATTGTATTTCAACAATATCCCGCAAGACTAAGTATATCTCGTATAAAACATCACTTAATATGTTGACGTTATCAAACAAATTTGGATATCTGTCCACTTCTCTCTTTACGGCACTTTGTCATTATAAAATGCACAATTACTCAAAAGCTTTGGAGATTCTGGATCATTTAAAGGTTAAGATGCCACGTTTTGTAGTTTACTTTATAATGAGAAACTTATCAGATTATGAAAGAGCTGCAGGTAGATTGCCATTATCTTCACGGATAAATGAACTTGTTATCAAGGATATATACCTTGAATGGAATATGTCGTTTATTGACGAGTTAAAGCTCGAGCAAATGATTACTTTAAAGAATAGAAATATTGCATTGATTATCCCTCCATTATTCATGCTTTACTTTTTATCCTTTTTGTGTCACCAATACTTGGATCCAAATAAATCACAGATTGATCTTCAAGATTTGCATGTCCTTCACTACGATCAGGGTCTATATATGAAGCAATCTTCGGCAGACATTTCGTGGCAAATTTTAGGTATCTGTCAACAAATTGCTGGCCATAAAGAGGATGCCCTTTTGTCTATTCACAAAGTGTTTGACCAACTCGAGAATCACAAAATACGAGAAGCAACAGAGATACGGATACGAGGAATTAACACTGGTCATCTAGAGACCATATGATTATTCAATGATTTAATTTAGAAACAGAAATAACTATTCAACTTTAATATATATTAAATTAGCAGTATTTATATCTAGTACTTTGATACGATATATCCTATTGAACTCAAAAGAAAAGAACGCATGACACATCTATTTTGTACTTGGATGTTTCAGTAAAACAGTGATGGCAAACTTACAATTTTACTCAATAAAACACGCCATGAATTAGACTATCCGAGATTGTCTGTTCAGTTGAATAAAATAAAGAGTAGCTAGATATCATATTATAACATTTCAGAAGGTCTCCATGTGTGCGTATGTGTGAGATTTGTCCCTCGCCTGTTTAAAGAATAAAATTCATGTACTGGTTCAAACTGACAGACATTTTTAACAACTAATATCAATCAGATAAAGCACGACGTTGCAATATACATTCTCATTTGACGTATCATCCATGCGCCATAAGGCAACACCACATATGATACGTGACTGTATTTATTGCCATGTTTTGTTAATTTGTGAGTATAATTATGTATTTATCATTTTATAATATAATGTGTATATTGTAATGAATGATTAACCTATGTGTATTTTTTTAATGTATCGTTAATTACTTTTTGATCTAGGAAGCTTGTCTAAAAAATGGACAACCCTCGAATTTTAGTCCATATAACTCATCGGCATACAAGGAAAAAAAGTGTATGTGTTGCTGGCAATATATTAAATAATGTAGGTAATTTAAAAGAACATGCTGGAAGGTTTTGGCTAAGTGGAAAAAAATACCTATATATTGGACGTTATCATGAAATTAGCGTTATGACATTTTGGCCCGTGCATACAAAGTACAAAAGATGAAATATACACCTATAAAATTCATAATATAGTGTGCATTGTTTTTATTTTTAATATTAACTAAATAATAGTCTTTCTTGATATATTATTTTTTACATGTTTGCCATTGCGGGCTTTATAAAGAAAATTAAGCATTTGTCCACGAACTTTTTGGACTTTATACTAGTATTAATTGTGGAAAGGGAAAATACAAACAAAGTAAGATAAAATATTTTTAATCGCAAGTGATAACTTCATTTTTGCGAATTTACATTAGTTTCCTGCTAAAGGCGAAAAAATTTTTTTCCTTGTGTACGTGTGTGTGTGTGGAAAGGAATTTTTTTTTCAGAAAAACCACAGTATTCATTTGTTTGAAATCTTTTTTCACTTATATAAAAAGAAGAAACAAATTGGCCCAAAAAGCTATCTTGAAAAAATGAGATTGATTGATTCGTAAAAACAGTGATCTATAGCCACTGTATTTACAAATTTCCTTAATTCTATCTTTTCCTTTGAGATTTTTTTTTTTTGAAAATAATTGAATACTTCATATTTATTTTAAACTTCTTGTTTTAACACAATTGATGGAGCTTCAAAAAATGTAAGCTTTTGGAATTTCATATCTGCACAGAAATATATGACGCTTGGCACTAGGAACAGTTGCTTTACATTTTTCAAAATATATTTGATTTGAACAAGTTACGCAACTACAAAAAGGACAGAATAATGAAATGAATCATGATCGAATTTTATTTTATAGATTCATTTTAGAATATAAAAAGTAATGCGCAAATAGTTTGGAAAATGAAAAGAAAAAATATTGAATTTTATTTATGCGAGGATTGTTGGGAAATCAAGTCATTGTGTACATTTTTTTCTTTCTAAAATGAGGAAAGAGAGAAAAAGAGGGGGATCCTACAAATCATAAACAACAGAGAGATTTTTACTTTAAAAAAAAATAACAATAACTTTTTTATCACGAGAAATGTTTTAAATGAAATAGGTACATTTATGTTGTTTCGACATCTTAAACAAGCAAGTCCGTTTTTGTAGCTAAACATTTGAAATTATATACTGATTTTGAACTATCAACGTCTTTTAACACAAAGGTTAATTTAAATGTTCCAAAGAAGAGAGAGAGAGAGGGGGGTGGTGGGGTGGAGAAGAGATGGTGTTATTGTATTGTTAAGTATAAACAGTTAATTGTTCAAATGTCTCATGAAAAGATTGCTATCGAGAAATTTTATTGATTAGACAATGCCTTAAATTTCAATGAACTTTTAAAAACGTTGCTTCTAAAATAACACTAGAGAAAAAGGCTTATTTATGAAAAATTATCTGTCCTGAGCAGAACTATTTTCGTATAAATTTCATATAAAGGAGAATTTATTCTAAAAATTCACAAAAAAAAATAGTTTTCCTGCTGTGGCCTTAAATTTTACATCCTGATATATCGATGATGTTTATATCAGAAGAAATATTCATTTTCACTCGTACGTTGATTCGATAGATTTGTACTGGTTAACACAAAATTAAAAACATTACAGATTCTGATATATCTACTAGTATTTCCTTTTTGTACATGCATGTATTTCAGAAGACGTTACCCATATGATGGCGAACACACAACAGAACATTTTGATACACTTTATATACACATTGTAACAGTTATATAAAAGTGATGATAAAGAATATACTGCTTCGAAAAAGAGCTATTGGTATAAGTTGGATTACACCTTTTAGAATTAATTCCAGTTCCTCTAAAATATAATTTAAATAATGATCCTTACAAACAAAGACAATGTTGTTACCTAATTTGTCAGCAGGGACCAGGACATACTGACTGTGTAATCTATCTTATGCTTTTTTTTACTTCTGAATTATTGAACACAGAAAATAGTATTTCTCAGTCGAGTTAATGAAATGAAATCCGACACTTAAGAATTTAAACCCATGTTTTTCAATTCAATACAAAAAAAAATGTTACTCAGGAAAGAGAGTTTATATTCATGCCTTTAGTCTTTTAAAGTTATTTGCTCTTCCTCTAAAAAGAAAAAGAAAATTATTTATCATTCATAGTATGATTATTGTATGCTTTAGTAGTTTTATTTTTTTTACTATATTTTCTATTGAATTGAAAAATTATATTTTAAGAACCATGAGGTAAATCTTGAAATTTCCAAAAAGTACATGTATTTTCATTCAAAATAATATTGCATATTACCAGAGGTAAAATACTTACTTAGATGAATGCCGTCGTCTGTAGACTAGAAATATTGTACATTTTTCATCTGTGTTTCTGGACCGTACTGAATATACTATCAGAAGCACAGTCTGAAAAGAGGTTAGAAATGGCTGAAATCTATTCCCTTGGAAATGTAATAAAAATTATCAAGTTCTTAAATTATCAAGTTCTTTAAGAAGTATACCTGTACAAGAATAACAGAGGTTGAGGCAACGGTACGATAAAACGACCATCTAAGTTGTTTAAGGCCAAATTTAACAACCACTGTCAAGACGGATGCAAACCCAAGAAGACCTAAAAATATATGATTGTTTTTATTGATATCTATAAAATCAAGATTATCGTCAAAGTTATAGATAAATAGATGTTATAGACATCATATAGTATACATTATATTGGTATCAATTCAAAACTCTTTTTTAAAAGAGATTTTGATTGCTATGACTAGAAATTGTGTTGTTTAGTTTGTATTTGCACTGCATATCTGTGATAAGTAATACATGTACTGTATACATGTGCATTACTTATAAGAGACATAAACTACCATTTGGTTTCTAGAGAATTCAAGGACATCTCAAAATGTCAAAATTTTATTTTCTCCTTTTTTTGTGGAGTACAATTAAATATTACAGGTATAAGTTATAATTCATCATGATATTTTTAAATTTCTACATTTAAAAAGGTTCAAGAGCACATATTTTACTGTTGTTCTTGAATAAAACATTCTATGACGATATTTCATTAGGAACTTTAAAGTTATAATGCTACGAACACACAATACAGCGTCTATCTTAGGCACTTACCTATCTGTTGAAAAATCGTTTTAAAAATGTTTAATCAGTTCTTTAAAATATATGTGTAATGCTTCGAAAGTACAAATTCGCTCTATTTCAATAGGCATGTACTGTAAATATATTATATTTAGCATGTACGATATTTGGCGGAAATTGATTTTTGAACGAGTTAGCGTAGATTTGATTTAGCGCATTTCTAAATGTTCTTATTTATGTTTATATGTGCAAGACAGTTAGCGTTGTACTTGAATTAGCGGAAGTTCCCTTCCGCCAAAATCGCTAAAAAGAATACACAGCAAAATGTAATACGTTTACAGTATTTTGAAATACTAGTATTAGACAATAAAAACTTAACTCGTCTCCCTAAGTACAATTTAATAGAATGATTTTATCTTTAACATACATCTATTACATTTAGTTTTACAAACTTTAAGGTAACAAAGCCTATTCACATGTTATCTATAAATTTATAGACGTGTGCTCACCTGCAAGAGTGTAAGGCAAAGAGTAACATTTACAGCAGCTATCTGTGCATTCTCGGCTATTGTCTTTTCCATCGCTGCTTCGGCAACAAATAATACATCTGATACATATCCAGAATAAAGGAAAGATGGTCAGACACAGGGATGTTGCTATATTAAGCCCAATGACTAAATTATCGAAAACTGTAAACATCAAAAAAGGTATGAGGTAAAGGTAGAGTAACATTAATGTTATGATCTCAAAGTACCAGTATGTCACAAATATCTTACAAATAGCTACAAGCAACAACGAACAATGACATAATGGGAAAATGTCATTGTTGCTTTATTTATCTGGAGATTTAAAATTAGATCGTCCCATATTACAGCTATATTCTGAAGACTTGATTTTATCGGATAAGAATCTTTGCAAAAGTAATCATACGAATGTCGAATTCGAAGTGTACATTAACAAAAAAGTGACTTATATATACGGCAATGATTATACTTGAAAGTTTTAAGAGCATATAAGGCATTATGGAAGATAATTGTTCCCCTTATTAAAGGCTAATACATATCCATGATATTAAAGTACAGATTTTTGGGGGATAAATATTGCAAATAGTAACATTTACCGATAGCTGTGTAAGCTGTAACCTGAAATCGCGTCATTGGGGTACTAGATGGATTTTATGTGTATCGATACAAAATAAAATTCCTTTTCGAACAGTTTCAAGGACTTAATAAAACGTTACAACGAAATGAAAACATATCAATTGAATCATTTTTAAATAAGCTTTTGGCCTGAGTTTTAAGAGCTATATCTTATTTTCAAATCTGGCAAAGAAAATTTTACCCGACGAGCTTTTCCTAAATACAATCTTATTTTCCTATAAAACAAAATCTTCAAATGGGTATTCCAAAAAGAAGGGAATTTTTCTTATCAGCAATTTTTCTGTAAAAATCATACAGTACATAATCTTACCAGTTTCATTTCCAGGACAGCCCAAACTGTAGAATAGACCATGAGTACAACTTCTTGTAGAATTTGGAATAGTCTCTTCTACCGTTATCCAGTAAGGTGTTACAATTCCAACATCAAAAAGGATTATAACAATAAATGCTACCGTAGCGAAAAACCCAAAGACTACATCGGACATTTTGAAATTGAGAAAATCACTTTGCAACACATATATTTTAATCGTCAAGTGCCTGTCTAGCCTTTTAAAAAATGTATGATAAGCAAAGGAAACACAAGTTCATCATTACTTCTAAAATCGATACTACCTCACTATATTTTGTTCATTTGCATTAATGAATATCGATTATATTTGCTGACCCGAGGTAAATTGCATTTATATTCTATGCAAAATATATGTGTGCTATTAGCGCTAATTTCTCAAGTGGTTATGAGGCTGACCCTAATCTCTCCTGTAGGTTCCAGACTACCTCTAATCGGCAGGAAAATGTGTAGCATCCTGGTTTGGAGAGGGACCACCTCTCATCAATAGTGTGCAAGGTCATAAATCATTTTGATGGTAGCGATACTAACCTTTTCTAGTTAATTAGTGTATTAATGCAGACTAAAATCTACATTTCTCGGGTATTCAAGCCAAAAGTCCTTAATACAATGCAAAATAGGAGCAGAGAAAAACAGACCTCCAAAACATCAAAAGTGGGATCAGGTGACGTGGATGAGTAAGCATACCCTGCCAAATTGATCTGGAAATAACGGAAAAAATGCAGCACAACAACGTCGAAGATTGAGGTTGGAATATTGTGACCTTATAAATTTTGATTGTTTCACCACAGGATATGACTTTGGCATGTCTGTCCATTGCATTGCAACGCGGCGTGTCTCATGGGGTACAAGCCATAGGACAATCGTGTCACCATGGGACATTGGCGCAGACATCGGACTTTAGATTCTTTCAAATATATAAGGAGAAATATTATATCCGGATTACCCGGTATATTTTACATAAAGCAGAACAGCTATAAAAGAAGTGAATGTATTCCACATCTGTATTGTAAAAATCATCCACTAAAAAGAGTACATACATGATACCAGTTGTTTGTATTATTATATCAATATACGTATAAATTATTACTATAAGATTACTTAAAGTATATGTGGAAGAACTCACTTCCTAAGAAATATTTCAAATGGATTTTTTTCTAAATTCTCAAGTTTTAGGGGTATATTATAATTTACTATTCATGATTCATTCTGGGGTTTACTGAGGGCAATTGTAGAATACAGCAAATATACAATAAGATGATCACAGGAACAAAAGTTTATATGAGAGCATACTATATATACTATTCATCCCTATTTATGTCCTGCTCCTGTGACAGGGAAAAATTGGAGATTTCCATTCAGTTGGGGGAAGGGGGTATTGCTAGGGTTGCTTGAGACAAAATCGAGATTCCAATTAAAAATCCATTGCACGTCTACAAACTAGCACATGGAAATGTAGACCTTTGGGTATCAAACTGATAAATACTTTATATAACCATTTTAAAGATATTCAGACTCATAAGGTATGTTTTAAACAAAGAACCATTTTATTCTAGATTTGAAGCCTACATCGACAAGTGGAGGCGTCTCAATATGAGTGAAAATTCTTGAAGAGAATTCGAAGAAATAAATAAACAAAACGATATTCCGAATATTAAATCAATTTTATCAACGAAAAGAATGTTATTATAAAAAACTAAATTGTGATAAAGTCAGATGTTCTTATCGTCTTTTAAGATGCTCGATGCCAAGCTACCTGTAAGATAAAAAGAGAAAAAAATATTAGTATATGCATGGAGACGTATCAAGCATGACAGTTATTTTTTTAATTTTTGTGTAAAAAATGATAAAATTTAACTAATTGTTTAGAGAACAAGCCTTTCAACAGTTTGTTAGAATTTTCATGGATACTAGAACTACTAGTTGTTCCTTGTTATTTTCAGACCTATTTTTGTCTTCGTATGAAGCACAATTTATCAAAAATATTTTACATGGAAAGAAGAAGTTTCTTGCTGTGACTTTCAATTCTATATTTAGATATTTCGACAACTCTTTATCAATTAGAAATATGCTTTTCATGTTTACGTTCATTCTCTATGTATCTCTGTTAACTCGAGTAAAAGAAACAACAGAGTCTAATATACATGTATATGTTTTAACTTTGGATAGCTTACTTAAAAAAGACATTAATGTTAACCTACACCAAAACACTTGCTGGAAAACGTAATGGGATATACTGTTCTATTATCAACTTCCCTTATTTTAGTAGATATATAATTATCATAAGCATATGTAGATAACTCTCCCAGTCTATTCGAAAGTATTGCTCAGCGTCGGAACATTTTAGACTCGGATCTATGATTACGGATATTGCATATCGTAGGCTTTTTAAACCCACACGCTCCACGGAAGAAAATGCAGCTAAAACAATCCGTCTTTTCCTTAAACTTCAATATGCCAATAAAGGAATTGATGCGGTTAATATAAGTAATATTCTTAATCACAAAAGGGTCCAGTCTTGTATTCCACCATATTTCAAATTAAAGATTACACCTTGTATTTCCTACAAATATACATCGACCATTGCTTCCAAACTTTTCAATTACAATCACTTTACATGGCCTGGATACCGACTATCTAAAACATAATCCTCCTTCATGTTCATGTTCTTCTTCGCCTTATAACTAGGTTGCGCCAAGTGTAGGCTGCACTGAAAATTGCTCTGACATTTTTGTCAAATTGTGTGTTAATAAGTGGATGTAAAATTCTGAAACTTGCTACAGAGGAACATTAATGTGCTATCTAAACAACTGTGGAATTATATTCTGGAAATAGTTTGTAGTTTTCATGATATTAGTAGTGATAATTTTGAAAACAATTTTACATTGTTTGAGTGAGTGAAAATCAACCACCATAGAACAGGATTACCTGTTGGATTATAATGACTATTGTTCTGTGCCCATTGTTGGAATACACCCGTGAAGAATTGTATACAATAGGCAGATTTTCTAAAGGGCCGTACATACTGGACAAAGAAACAGTTCATAGGATAAAGGATTTAGGTGTATATGGCTATAGGGGTAAACGTAGTGGAGAATCAACTCCATGTTTGCTCATTTAATGTCAGATCAATTAGAAACAAAACTGCCTCTCTTTGTGACTATATTGTGTCCAACAACTTTGACGTAGTGGCCCTCACAGAAACATGGCTTGGTACCAGTAATGACAAGATATGTATAAATGAACTTGTTCCTGAAGGTTATACCATCAAACATGTTAGCAGAGGGTCATCAAAGCGTGGAGGTGGCGTAGCACTCATATACAAACGTTCAATAACTGTTAAACGAGTTACATCCAATCACTCATTCTCACAATTTGAACTACTAGACTGTACATTAGAAATAAATGGATTGATCCTACAGTTAGCTACAGTGTATAGACCCCCTCCTTCAAAAGAAAACGGACTAAAGACCAACGTATTTCTAGAAGAAGAATGGCCTAGATTTCTATCTGAGTATACAGTCACAGACAAAGAAATAATCATTGTTGGTGATCTTAACGTTCATTTTGATGTTCCCACCGACCGTGACACAATAACTTTTAACAGTATCCTTGAATCAAATGGCATGAAACAGCTTGTGAATGAACCCACACATATCCGTGGACATACATTAGACGTTATCATAACTAGAGACACTAGTAACATTCTATCCAGTATTCTTGTTACCGATCCCGGACTCTGTGGTCACGCGGAAAATATGAAAAAAGACCATTTTGCCGTTACATTTACCGCTAATGTTACCAAACCACTACTAGTTCGAAAAGCAGTGACATATAGAAAACTAAAATCGATCGATGTTGACTTATTCAAACAGGATATAGATAACATTGACTGGGACAATGCTTCAAGTTCTAACGTGGATAGGATGGCCCAAGTGTATACGGATGAACTAACAAAACTCGTTGACAAACATGCGCCTGTCCAGTCCAAGACTATCACACTTCGTCCTCAGTCCCCTTGGTTTGGTGATGATCTACATTCAGCTAAACATCTCAAACGAAAGTTGGAACGCAAGTGGAGAGATACTAAATTAATCAATGACCATCAAATCTACAGAAATCAGTGCATAGTCTATAACATCATGTTGCATGAAGCCCGTACAAAATACATGTACTACGCAAACAAGGTAGAAGAGTCAGGCCGTGATACCAAGAGCTTGTTTAAACTCACAAAACATCTCCTTGGTGGTAACAGTGATAACAATGTGCTTTCCTCTGGTTCCACACCGAAAGAAACAGCTCAGAACCTAAGTAACTTTTTCACATTAAAGATTGAAAACATTCGTGATGGAATCAGATCTGATCAGACCGGTGATGCAAAGGAACATGAAATAGAACCCCAAACGAACTCTAGACTTTTAAACTTTCTACCTGCCTTGCAAGAAGAAGTTAGAAAAATCATTCAAAGTTCGCCCAACAAATCATGTGAACTGGACCCCATACCAACATGGCTTCTTAAATAATGTCTTGACAAACTTCTGCCTGTAATCACAAACATCATCAATGAATCATTCAGTTCTTGCCATGTACCAACGGAGTTTAAAAGTGCTGTTATAAGACCTCAACTGAAGAAACCGGACTTAGACCCTAATGTACTGAAAAACTACAGACCCGTTTATAACCTCCCGTTTGTATCAAAGGTTTTAGAAAAAGTTGTAGATAAACGTATCGGTGACCATCTAGCTGAGAACAGTTTACATGAACCATATCAATCTGCATACAGGAAACTTCATTCCACAGAAACAACCTTATTCAAAGTGCATAACGATATCCTTCAGTCACTAGACAATAACTGTGTCACTGTTCTTGTGTTGCTTGACCTGTCAGCAGCATTTGATATGATGGATCATACCACACTACTAAGCCGTTTGGAAAACCTCTACGGAATCAAAGATAACGCCCTTTCCTAGATTTCAGCGTACCTTAATGGTAGACAACAAACTGTTTGTGTTGAAGGAGAGCTATCCGATCCAGTTACTATAAATTTTGGTGTTCCACAGGGATACGTATTGGGGCCGAAATACTTTACAATGTATACCAAGCCAGTAGGTGCTATCTGTGGTTAACATGGTCTAATGCATCACTTTTATGCTGAT